TAGTTTGTCGTTGCATCTAAACGTAAGAAAGATCCAAATCAAAAATTGGGTTGCTAAGTCAATATCCAAGTTTGCCACCACCATTTAAAAAACATCCATCCTTATCATTTGAGGGAACGGTCTTATGTTTTCTAGTTTTTACAATGCTTAAAAGGATAATGTCCTCTGGGGTGGCCAAAGATTAATTTTTGGTGAACAAGGCCACCATTGGCCACCCTCTGGCTCCACCATTACACTTGGTGGTGGATAAAATTTCTCTCTCCACTCACCTAGATCCATCACACTGCGCTGCCTTGAATAAGCAAAAAGGAAAAAAAGGATAAAACTTTCTTCTCCACAGTGTAACTCCTAACCGCTTGAATATCTTTCATGAAAAACATTTAGGTTTACTTAAATTCCCCATCCAACTCCAGTCCAGAAAACACTCATCTATCTCCAAAAATACAAACATTCGCTATTCAAAGCCCTCAGTCACAGGGGAGATTGGCATAAAACTTATGTTTTAATAAGGCTGTTGTCTCTTTTTAACATTTTACACATTGAACTCAACAAATTAGGTTTGTGTTTTGGTGCTACAACACATTTTATCGCTGTAAATATGGATTGAATTTAAATGTCGAATGATTTTTCCCAGAAAACTGGAACACCTTTAGTCACAGCCAGTGTTCTGTTTCAGCTTTTTTGGACTTTGAAGATGATCTGAGAGCTTTCTTGAAAGGAAATCTCAAACACTTTCATCTAAAAATCGAAGTTAATATAACATGTGTAAAGTGAATTATTAACTCGTCTTTTCCTGGGCAGTTATGCTGTTTTTACCTATCAATCCTCAGCAGTTCTCAGAGTGAGCAGTCTTTAATTATGTCCACTTTTTCTTTCCTTGTACTCAACTGTCAGATGAGAATCAGTCCATCTTAAAAAAAAAAAAAACTTTACCTCTCTTCATGCAGCTCTCACCTTCTGCAGATGCATAGTGTTATTTCTCAGGAGTGGTCGCCTCAAATTCCCATTGTGCAACTTGTCGGTTTGACAGCCTAGCTTGAATTACTCTCCCTATTTGCCATTGCTACATCCATTTAATTACATGCCTTCTGCTTCTGTATAAATCAAATGTGGATAAAGTGCTAATAAACCTGTTTTTGCATCAATACTTTTGGTTCCCTCTTATGTGAAGCAGCGGTGAATTGTGCATTGTGTTGGGGTCGAGGAGGTCCAGAGCAGCTGGTGACAGCCTTCCTTTGACAAATGAGCGTGTGTTTGTTTACTGTTGAGGGTCCCTTACCTGATGGCTCTGCCCGTGAGGTCTGAGATAACTGCATAAGGGGGCCTCTTGGCAAATTAGGTGGATCATTAAGAGTTTAAGATAAGATTCTGAAATGCAATGGAAAAACAGGATGGACTTCGGCCTATTTTAATAAACCAATTTGCCAAGTGAAAACATGCCAGCAGCAGCATGTAAGTAAAAGTTTGGCACACAACAGCAAGCAGGGGTATAATTATTGTTCAAAGTCGCAGTGCTGATTTCTAACCCCGTGAAACAGATATCAAGATCGCATTCTGGCTCTAACTACAAACTACTGCAGATTTATGGGAATACAGGTTTTTATTTCTTTAAATTTCAGAAGTCATACCATTTAAGAACTATAAATAACAAGTGATTATATATATATATATATATATACACAT